CTAAAAGAAAACCCGAAAATTTAAATATGACTTATATTTAAATTTTCGGGTTTTCTTTTAGCGACACTCATATATATATTACTGTTAGGGTTAGGAATTATAGTATGATTTTTAATTTTGGTCTGTACCACACTGAACAGCTCACCCATACCATATTAGATATCATTTCGGCATGGGATACATTGATCGTAATAAACCCTCGCATTTATGGTATGAACGAATTTCACGCTAATATGCAATGTCCGATTCTGCGCAACAATCCGAATTTTTTAATAATATATAGATAGATATAGATAGTTGGTATTAAATAAGATTTACTGTTACACTAACTGCTAATCTAAATTTAGAATTTAACAAATTAGCATATAAGATTGCACTAAATTATATATGCTAATGTACTGTATATACAAACTTTGGCCATGAATAGAGAATGTACCTTGATATATAACTCGATAAAGATTTCAATTTCCTTTAGAACTTCTCAGAACCCTAATCTACAAATGATATATAAATTCATGAATGGCGCATAACGAGTACACGCTTACCATATCCTGGCTTATCGGATATAACTTACGACTTTGAGTTGTATGTAAAATTAACGCATTCTATTTATGACTTTGAGTTGTATGCAAATTAATGCATTCTAATTATTCGTATATTAATGGCTAATTTTTCATTATTACATACTATATATAATTATTATACTAACTATACAATTTTCTTATTAAGGTTTAAAACCTACGGTAATAAACAAATATATAAGGCTCCAGTCCTCTAAAACGCCTCCGTAAGACGCCACGTCAATATTTTTCATTTGTATAGTCTACGTTATCCGTTTAACTTCTTCCTTTTTAATTTCTTTTTTTTTTTAAAAAAAAAAGTGAAGCCATCATTAAAATTCAAGTTATAAAAAAGATGTCAGTCGTCTTACTTGACTATGCAATAAATAATTCTTATTTCATTTCAATTTAGTCAGTGAATATAAAACCTATTTAATTACTTAAATATTCTATTTAAAATTACTGTAAATTCTTATAATAGCTGGCATAGGTGTTATTTTGAATTCTGGTTCAAATCAAGCTTAATTTAGGCCAAATTTCGTAATATCACCACTGAGCATTATTTCGAGAATTATTTCGAGACGCTTGCATTTTATAAATTTAATCCGCTATTTCTAATCAATTATTAGGATCAGTCTAAAAAAAACTGCTGTACTGTATAAAAAATCTCTAGCTTATTCATAAATTTACGTTCCTGTTTTGCGCGACAGCGTTGCGCAGCTATCTTATTTTGGTATGCCTTAGTTTAGATCTTATTCTCGTCAATACGTTAACCAATTGATGAAATGAGATCATCAGACTAATTTATATTGTATATAATGCGGTCGACGACGTTAAAGTCAAACTTTATTATATAAGTACCCATTTTTTACTTTAAACCTTTATTAAATACCTAAAAATATTTTCATCTAATATTAGTACAATAATAGCAAAATAATAATGAAAGCTATTTACATCTTAATAAAGTTATTGATAATATCACAAATTTATTCAGTTTATGCACAACAGAATCATCCGTTAGCACAATTATGGAACATAAGTGATGCAGATGTACCCGAATGGTTGGAGTCTGAGAGAAATTTGATTGCGATTGATGAAATCTTAAGACCAATTCTAGAAGATGATTCTTTTAGTTCAAGCTTTGGTGGAACTTATATAGATATATTTGTAGAGCTAATATATGTCAATACAGTGGAATTTTCTAAAGTCGACGAATTGTTAGCCTTGCCTCAAATAAAACCACATAAGAAGTTTCTACATTTTATAGAAGCAAACAATTCCATGAGTCAATTGAAGCACAATTTTGGCAAAATATCTTTTTTAGCTCAAATAACTGGTGCGCAAAAACTTTATATTCTCACTGATATGGAATATAATAATATTATTTTATATTTTTTCGACAGGCATACTGATAATTCAGAGTTTTTGAATGCTGTTGAACGCTTTGATCCGACTATACTCTATTTTGATGAACCTCTATCTGTTACACAAACTATAATAAGACCACGAAGTGGTGGTAATTTAATAAAAAAGAAAATACTAGGTGGAGATGGACTACAAAAAAGTGATGGCCGCATTTGTTCTGCTGGTTTTTGGGCAAAGAATAAAGATAAACCAGATCGTTTATATATTATAACCTCAGGACATTGCTTTAATGAAGATAATTCTCAAACCAATTTTCGTTATTTACCATGGAATTCGGATCCTACGCAATCTGATTTACCATATATTGGATCAATGATATATAATTCTGGAGGTTTTTTCGATTTTGGTATAATTGAAGTTGATAAAAAAGATGCTTTTGCCCCATCATTTGCTATAAGAAATACTGATAATGATCAATATGCAGAATTTACTGTAAGTAATAGTGTACCTGTATCTAGTCATGGTGTTCATATATGTAAGTCTGGCTACACTTCACATTTTACTTGTGGTTTTGTAAAAGGTTTAAATGGGATTTACATATCAGGGAGATTTTTTATAAATAAATTAGTCGTTGGAGATTATTATTCCGATCTCGGTGATAGTGGTGGGGCTGTAATTTCTTTTGTTTCACCACAAGATTTAAATTTAGTGACTTTACATGGTATACATAGTAACGGTGGTGGTGGGGTTTCTGCATTTCAATCGGCTGATATAATTTTCAGTGAACTAGATGATTCTGTTGCTAGATATGATCTTTGGGATCTTGAGATTTATTTGGGGGATGCATAGAAACATATACCTTTCATGATTTACCTTTAAGTTTCTTTGTTTATTGGTTGTATGTTTCGAATTAAGTGCCATGAGATAAATGAATAATAGTTTATAACAATCCGCACATTGAGAATATGAGTGTGATTACCAATCGATGGCACTTCCGACAATCTGAGTTTGACATAACCACATTGTTCTAACTATACATATATTATCATGATATGTTTCTTTCTATTTCTTATTTTTATTTCTTAAATATATATTGTTGCGGCTTATGCTGAAATTTTGTGTCTCTATTTGAACCTATATATATATATACTAAAATCCACATATACCCTTTTATTAATAATGCTATCCAAACCCTAATTTAACTATGAAAAAAAGACCACAAAAAAGCCCCTAGGATTTTATAAATTAAGAAAAAAATAGGTCACTATTTTAGCATAAGCTGCAGCATGTATTATTTTAGTTTACGATCGTAGATTTGAAATTATTTCATGACACAATGATCTACATTTTATGCTTATAAATATAAGGATAGCTGCGCGACGTTGTCACACGAAACCAGGAACGGGAAATTAGTATATCATGGTAATGGATATTATGATGAGAACCTTTTAAATATATTTACTAAATATGTATGAAATTTTAAATAAACATACTCATAATTTGCGATTATAACTATCTGGATAAGTCGTCTGCAGTTTATGGAGGTTAATTTTAAGATAAAATTAAGTGCAAAACACAT